ATATCTAAACAGTGTCTAATAATAACCTGTGCTGTTCATAACAAATCAATAACTCGAGTAAATTTACCTTCAATAACTAATTAATGCATTATTGCTTGAACCAGATACAAAATACAAGTAATTTTAAAATAATTTCTCGGAAGTCTTACGCATCAAAGAGTTACGCTTGTCAAAACTTATAAATTCCTCTTTAAAGATGAAAGTATTAAAGACCTGTGTGAAATGCCGCTAATCTTCAAGGAGGATGATAAGGACCTCCTCACGGTTCGTTTACTCCCAAAGGTATTCGAAGTAAAAAATAGGTCATCTTTTAAGTACCTACGTATTAAGATGCTGAAAGCACATGTTTTCGAAGTCGAAGATAAGGTTCGATCTGAAAAAACAGTTCGCTAAGCAGATGAAACGATCAAAATTTTTGTGTTCCTATTTCGTTGCAAAAAAAGAACAGAGAGGAAAGAACGAAATACCTGTAATGAACATAGAATAGCTCAATATATTATGTAGTTACTTAGGAATTTGCAATTTGTTTTATTGGTATTAAAATTCAAGCTAAATAAATTATGTAGGGTAAGTAAGTATAGGGTTGTGATAACTGATAAATCTATGAAAACTTCAAATCTATTAACTAATACAAATCCGTATAATCCTACACCGAAATCGAATATTAACACTATACATCGCGGGAAACCGCTACGTCCCAGGAATACTGAATAAGTCCATTGTCTCAGAATTCCCCGGACCGAAACCACCGAACAGTCATTCAGCACCATTAGAAAATAGACCTTACATCTCTTATAATAAATTAGATTTTCGTTCAGCAGACAAAGGACGCGTAGACGTGTAGTTATGAGAAATGGGTGATTCTCCAAGAAACTGTCGTCAGTTGAAAGGCCTAAGACAATACCAGTTTTGATACAAATTTCCTTTGTGGAAACGGTTGTTATGGAATATGGATGCTTTTTAAGTGGATACAGCTCGGCGGAAATTATTGTCGCTCGTAAGCGTGTCAATATCTCTCGCAATTTTGCGTGGGCTTTGAATATTTTAGAAATTCGTCATCTTCTACGGTTGAAAATTGTTATGTACTTTAATTACTATCAAAATAGTAAAGAGCTGTACACGCCTTCTAAAATAAACTTATAGTATTTCGATCTAAAAAAAAAGCTGTAAATGATCACTAATCAATTATACTAATATTATAAATGTAAAAGTTTGGATGTCTGGATGTTTGTTACTCTTTCACGCAAAAACTACAGAACGGATTTTGTTGAAACTTTACAGTATTATTGTTTGTAACCCAGATTAACATATAGGCTATAATTTTTGCCGATCTGTGATACTAAATTTCAGGCGGGTGAAGCCGCGGGCAAAAGCTAGTTATGAATAAAATATTAACTTGTCCAGACGTTTTTGGTATTTTGATAGAAACTGAAATAGAATTTCTTATTACCAACAATAACCTATCTATCTACCTAGACACTCACGATAAAAAGCTATCAGGCTTTTTTCGCTATGTCGGATTGAGATTATCATCTATAAAATTGCAATTATCAAATCTCTTATGTAATCATTACGTAGAAATTTAATTAACGTGGTTACGACGCGTGTAATTCATCTTTTTTTCCGGTTAAATGGTGTAGAAAGTAAAGTTTTATTCATTTCATTTTATTTGTATTTTATGTGTAAAATCTTTCACACATTTGTTGCTTGCTTCATTGTTATTATTGGTAATTATTTAGGTTCTTACTAAGCGTAGAAAAGAGAAACCATTTTCATTGATCTATTGTAATTTATAAAGATTATCACAGTATTATTATTTATAACTGAATGCTGGTACAGGTACATAATTTTCTTGAGAATAGTAAAGAAACTATAATGTTATTAATAGTATGCATCCTCTCATTGCAAGTCTCTCAAGCATACCTACAGTTAGGTGCATATGGATATACACATGTGGACCTTATGCCATTGTGTTAAGATCAAGAATGCACATATCTGCACTGTGTCTGTACCATGCAGCTCTGATTACCTACGAGATATTACCGGTTGTACCGCTCCCGGGCATCGTGTGTACCCATCCTTATCATATACCGGAGCCTTCTTTCTTGGGAAACTTTGAAAAATGCGTTTTGAGCCAGTCGTAGACGCAGCACAAAAACTACACGATGAGAGAACGCCTCGAGGCTTTTAAAGTAATTTTAACGTTTTCTAATGATGTTGTTATTAACTTTTGTAATAACAATAACTAGACGGTCGGAAATGGACGTGACTTTGCTATAAAATAGTAGCAATCAACACAGCGCCTTCAGCATACACGTCTTTTCTCAAAATCCAAGCATTGCGATCATTATACTTATTACGATTTTACTGGTTGGTGTTTTACGATACAAGTGTAGTGCAACGTCACTGAATTAGGTACTAAAACAATGGGATCGCACACGACAGTTAGCTGATAACCACGCAATAAAAACAAAATTACATATGTGATACTCACACCTGAACAAACCGAGCCTAGGCATAGCACACTTTACGTGTTACGCCACTTGATAACGAGAATCAATTACTTACTGAAATAATATAAAAACTATAAATTTCCACTCGATAAAACCGAATTACCTTTTGAACAACTGCTTGTAATGCATCCTGAGTGGATCACGATCAACAACTTCAGTAAAACTCACATTTCACTAAATAACAACACACGCGTAACACACAAAACTAACGTTCGTAATTACACCACAAGAATTCCAAACATTCACTTAAAACCGTCAAAAAGAAACATGAACAGCACGTCCGGCGGGCAGGTAAGTTTAAAAAATTCTAAATTCAAATAATGGGATGCTCAAGCGCAAGGTTGCTGTTGCGTGGGAAAGAGATGGGAAAAAACGGGTCTCACGAGCGCGTGAGGGGGAGGAGGGAAGCCACAGGTAATACTACCCTATGTTCTCGAATAGACAGACTACAAAAGGGTCAACTGTCGAGTGTCGACTTTTAACGGCAACAGCAAGTGTCGTTCAGACAAGTGCCGGCGGCAGACTGATCTACCTGCCGATACAGCAATATTATCACGTACTGCTGCCGCCTGTGCCGAGATTCACAACGACTCAGTCGTGGAAAGAAAAGATGCCGTTAAAGACATCGGCGACGGTTCAGTAGCGATCGGTTGTAACACATCGGAACACATAAAAAGTACGAGTACTTACTACAAACGATTAGTGGAATCGATTCGAGACGGACAATTCCGAAAGTAATTTTAAATTTTTTGTATAGTCATGTAATTGCTTTTGAAAACAAAGGTCATCCTGTTATGTGACTAATCCTAATTATAGGTAGACAACGTTATGTTTGTTCAGTACATTCAGATTTTGAAGGTATCATTTACAATTTGGTAAATACTGAAACTTTATCTTATCAAAATACTTTGCAGACCTAAAATCCATAAATTGCCCTTTTACAAGTATGCTCCACATTCTAATTCCGATTTATTATAACCATCAATAAACTAGCGAGATTGACTATTGTTCTACTTTATTGTCTTGACTTGCCCCAATCATACGGATAGCACGTCCAGCTAAACTGTGGTATCTTACGTGGTTCTAATAAGTTCGATTTTGCAACAAAAGTGTACATGATTGTTTATTTACAGATTCTTGATGAAGATGTGCCTCGGATGTCAGAGCAAACTTCGTCTGAGGTGTAATTGCTAGCTGACGTGACTGAGAGATAATTGACACTATCCGTTGTTCTTGGCTCCATTCATCGAACAGGAAAATTAACTGGTTTTTAGATTGTTCAGTTATCTATACGGGTAATTGGCACTGTGGTCGCAAGTCCTGCATCTGGTCAAGCTAGGACATCCGTTTATGCACTTTTAATACTTTCCGGTGGTGGACCATGTATTAAATTGACAACTAAATGGGCATCTAAATTAAATCTAGAAACGTTGCGAATTGGTAATTACTGTAAGGATACAGTACGAGTAGTAAACTTGGGAAATTGAACATTAATTGCTATTTTAAATCCTATTTCTCTAACTCGATAGGAAACTCTATTCTTAATAAATAAGGTAAGTAGTTAAATAATACTTCCAATAGTATGAAAATGTTTATAGATTTTGGAATCTCGTAATCTTCTTGTCGTAATTTTGAATTAAAATAAATTGCAGGAGGTAATCATACATGCAGCTTTTTAGATTGTCTTCCAATATCTAAGAAAAAGATCCAAGGTTAATAAGTGATTACAGACACTGATTAGCGAACGGTAAACCCTGAGATGACTGAAAATTACGTCATCGATTTAAGAGGAAAAAATAAAATGTATGACATACTGTGTCTAATGTAGGTACGTGTAATAAACAAACATAGAACGACAAACAATTTACAGTCATGAATTCAAAGATATACAGTGTATATTGTGTTAAGAATAAAATGTTATGAATGGGCAGTTAAATAAATCACATACGTACTGCGTTTACGTCAATGAGTATATTTACGAGTACACTTTGTGAGTAAGTTATAACTTTGTCGTATGATGGATTTGGCATTAGTAGGATTTAAAGCCTACCAAATACCAAATGAGATGCGTTTAAAATTCTTTAATCATTGGCAGTTAACCACTCTTTTTCCGGTAACTTGGTAACTAACCTTGTAAGTTACATAAACATTAGAAAACCTTGAAAGTGAGAGTTCCAAGATACTTCTTGTAAAGCATATCACTCGGGTTACGACAACCACCAACCTTGGGCGGTTGTGACAACGTTGAGCTTCCTAGTTCATTCACTTGTAAGGCCGTAACTGTAATTGATCTATTTCTGATCGGGTCCGATTTAACCTCGATATCGAAGTAAAGACAAGGTAAAGTCGACCTAGTCAAAAATAACTAACAATCGAAAGCTGTTTTTTATAAAAGGTCTAGAATACTGGAGTCAAGTTCATCTTCTCCTCCTATTTATCATCGGTTTGGCACTTGATTACGATCGCTTAATGTTATAATGGACTTACCCCTTTTCTCCTGGTCCTAGTTTGTTGCTTTCCACAATAGCCGTCGCCCTGATCCGGTGATCAGGCTGTTCTCCCAATAGTTTTTCACTTCTACCGTTGCTTAAGTGCTCCCTCGCTACACTGTACGCGTCACTTTTGCTAATATCTTTATTATCACTAGTCACTTCACTTTCGATTTTCACTTCACACTCAACTTTTACTTTGAGGCTCTTTTCACTTGAATCCTTTTCGTGCTTCTCCGGTTCCACTTTATCTTCTTTCACTTCCAACGCTTCTTTCTTCTTCTCCTTATCTGGTTGGATGCCGTTTGCAATGACAGGGGCCGGTTTTGCTTGCAATGATTTTGGCTGGGATTTGGGTGAAGATATCGTAGGTTTGCTCTCTATAGCTCCATTTTCGTTTATGGATGTGACATATACGGTGGAGTTTGCTATGTACCCATTCAATTCCTGTCTGTTCTCTGGCTGCGTCCTTTTCCTTTTGTTAAGCTGGAAGAGAAAACCCAAACGTTAATAATTGTAAACACAAATAAATTACAAGTATAAGGGCAAGATTTTAGATTTATGTGAGGAAGGAAACTAACGCGGAAATAAATTAATAACACATTAAATTACATAATGTTTTCGTTATAGTTACAACCGTGCAACACGACGTCACATAAAACACTGAGTTCACCGTGCTCGTAATTGAAGCAGTAAATACAATTTAAATGGTAAGAGCGTTATCTGACGCATTCGTTCTAGTGTTGCCAGGTATTCTGGCCGAAACTAACCGAATTATGAGTAACAAACAGGGACAGACAATTGTGAAAGTGCCACGAATGTCATTGTGTAATTAAAAACACATGCTGATTGGTAACAAAGGAACATCCGACAACTGACACAGATAATTTTCCTTTGACCAAGATAAATTTACACGAATTCGGAGAAAATGTGTCCATGAAAGCGAATAGTACCTATGTATAATTATGTACATAGGTAAGTACTCGTATCAATTAGAGAAACATAAGCTTGTGCTAGGGGCTAACAATAATACAATAATATTTTGATGAAAAAAAAAAACAGTAATGGCAGTGCAATAATTACCGAATCCGATACCTTCATTTTCCCTAATTTTTACGCAGATCCCGAGGCAAGCGTAACGTAATTTTGGGTAAAATACGACGAAGACGATGCCTATCATATTTTTAGTCTTAAGTTTATTAAAACTATTCACATCAAGTTGATGAATAAACTCACGAATTCACTGCCGATCCCCAACCCTGGAAAATTTACCATCTACATTTGGAACAGTCAGCAACACCAGCTCAGACGGAGCCATCGCATAAATATGCGAAGCTAATGCGGTCACGATTTTTATTAAAATTCAAATGGATTGCCACAATACATCACCTCGGGTGCGAGTCTCAATTAACTCACAAAAAAGCACTCGAAAAACGTGAATGCGAAAGTTTAAATGGCAACAAGTGGGCTGTAAACCCTTGAGAAGATTAAAGTTGTTGCAAGTTGTAGATTTTTCAAAGCCATTTTGAAATACAATAAATCAAACGGTTTGTATTTTTTCAGATCTCTTCAAATCATTAGTTGGTAGTTAACTAACCATAATTTAAATCGATTTAGCTATGTAAAATATGATGAGACGGTAATTATATTATTAATGTAAGTACCAATAACAAGAACTCTATCTTCAGTTTATTACTCTGTGACAACAAGTACGGGACATTAAAAAATGCTTTAATTGATTCTAATTTTAATTGATCCACTAGCCCTAACTTAGTCTCTAAAGCTTTGTTGTGTAAAAGGTGTACCAAGTCCCATAAACTTTTAAACCCTGAAAAAAATGAGTTACCTAAACATGAATTGAAAAGCAGTTTCTACTCACAATAAGATTTATTAGGTATGATAAGTATAGTTGCATTTTGATAATTGAATGCCAATTTACATTTTGGGTACCTACATTAATTTATTAGTGGTACCTATTACAACTTGAGATCAAATTAGATTAAGAATTCCAGAAGCGAAATACCTATCGGAAAACTTCAAAAGCTTTTAGTTCGTTTCCTGCAGAATAATTCTTGTCGTCCCTTGAAAACAAAAGAAAACAAAATGCAAAAAACTTTGCTTATTGCTAATTACTTTCCATAATAATCCTAGCGAACTCAGAATACAATGACAAAGTTCCAGTTAATATAAAAGTGGAGTAGTGCTAGAACCATTTCAAAGAATCGGCTGCTGAGTGCGAACTGAATCAAGACCGTCGAGAGCAGAATGAAAGTAGCGAATCGCCGGCTGAGGCTACAAACAATTACTAGGGTGGTGGGAATCATAGGCGATTTTATTATTTACATTAATAGCAATAAGGAAACATATACTGTATCGTGACGTGCACACAAATGAACGTAGGTACACAGTGAAGGTTAATTCTTCTTAGCCTAATTAACTACATCGTATGTGGCTGTACCGTAATGCATATCTCTACAAGATCTTGCGCAATAAATTATATCTATTTATTTTCTTAACAATGGGACAAGATAAATGGTCAAAGAGGTAGTTTGTAAATAAGATTGGATACATGTATGTGTGTGTACTTAGTATATTTATAGGCTGCAGCAACTACAGTGGAGTTGCAAAGTTACGAAAATTAGATAGGTAAAGACTTTTAAAAAATACTACGATTCAGGGTGTTTTCCTCCATCATTCAAGCAAGTTCTTTAGATACTGGTGTTGTGTCTAGTGTCAGCTGTATGTACTTCATTGGTATATTATTTTCTTTTATGGTTTGTCTGTGCACTTCCAATGAGTTAAAGCCAAGCACGTTAAATAATAACATATTAATATTTATTTCTGCGCTTATGACTTGGACCACGCCCTCAGCCGGAGGCTCTTGACACGCCGCGGTCCGGGGCGTTCTGAATGCACCAAGTATTGCAGCGTTACAGCCTTACTGCGGACTTGGCCGCCACTTAACGTATGCCGAATACCTTACAAACCACATGATCCCTACTTTAGAATGGCAGAAAATGAAGGTAGAGTTATGTTATCTGCATAAGTAATTCAATAAAAAACAGTTAGTATAGAATAACTGTTTTAACGTTGACATGCACTTCGGAATTGTTGGAATGCACCAAGTATTGCAGCGTTACATCAGCCTTACTGCGGACTTGGCCGTCACTTAACTTACGCCGAATACCTTACAAACCACATGATCCCTACTTTAGAATGGCAGAAAATGAAGGTAGAGTTATGTTATCTGCATAAGTAATTCAATAAAAAACAGTTAGTATAGAATAACTGTTTTAACGTTGACATGCACTTCGGAATTGTTGGAATGCACCAAGTATTGCAGCGTTACATCAGCCTTACTGCGGACTTGGCCGCCACTTAACGTACGCCGAATACCATACAAACCACATGATCTTTACGTAGGAATAGCAGAAATTGAAGGTAGAGTTATGTGATCTGCATGAGTAATTCAATAAGAAACAGTATAGAATAACTGTTTTAACGTTGACACGCCGCGGTCCAGGCAGGACGATCTGAATGCACCAAGTAGTACATATTGCAGCGTTACTTACAGCCTTACTGCGGACTTGGCCGCCACTTAACGTACGCCGAATACCTTCGTTCAAACCACCATGATCTACAGGTTACAGCACGTCTATATGTTACACAGAGTGTTACATTACCTCTACAGATAGTTTGGACATGTCGACGGGCGTGATGCGCTTGAGCGCCGACAGCCGCTGCAGCCGCTGCCGAGCCTGCTCCTCGACCGCGATGAGGAACGCATCTTGGATGATGTTGTGCCCGATGTCCGATACTGTGGAACAAAAATCATCATTATCATCAGGTAATTTAGCTACAGGCGGATGACCCTCTCTAATGTAAAATTTGGATCTGCAATTACATCTCCAATAAAACCCTCCCAGTAAAAGCACAGTTATTCTTAGAGTGATCCTGTAAAAGTCGCCTTAGAAAGGTACCTGACGAAATCTGGCTCAGTGACCCCTCTTGATCAACAAAATCATTAATTCTGGCGCTGTCCGCAGGCCCCTCTTTCCCACTGGGTACTTTAGGCACGTGCCCTTTTTCCAGGTGATAAGGGCCCCCCTTGATCCTTAAGTGCCCAGGGTTAGTAGGTTAAAGACAGGCCTGAATGTCCGCCAAAGATTAGAAAATAGTAATGAAATCAATCTAAAAGTACAATAACAGTTTTTATAACCTAGTCTGGTTTTGAAAATTAATCATCAATAGAAAGCTAATGCTAAAGCTAAACCACACACTGTAGGTAGATAAGTTTTCTCTTCAACTTTACAGAACCAAAACCTGGAACAATTAAATTCCAAAAAGCATCGAAATGAGTAAGTAATCGATTGGACACTGTCCGTTGCCGAGCAATATTCTAATTTAATTCATTAATTGACTATTATCCAGTTACTTACATACTAATTAAGAGGTTCAATGATCTGCCAAAAATGTAATACCGATTCACTGAAATACACTCGGATGTGGCACACATCGACACTAATTAAATTAACCAATGTCCAGGCAAACCATTTATTAACCGCTAATTAAAATTGCACATTCCGAATTATGCATTTCATTACTATAAACAATAAGTAGGTAAATAGGTAGGCAGATAGGTAATGCACCATGATCAAATCATTCACAGAAATCTTGGTCAAAGTTTTTCATAGCCGCACTAGCTTGTCAAGGCCAAAAAAGTAACGATATTAGGTACTCATATTTTCAAATGTTGTTAATTTTTGAATTTTCAATTTAGAATACTTTCATGATGATAATTTTTGGCCAATTGTTTGAAAAGGGGAAGTGAACAATCAGGAAGAAAGAAATAACTAAGGGTGAGTTGCACCACCTAACTTTGACGATAACCGGTGTATGTTGTTTGGAGTTTGACAGATTTTTGACGTTTGTCAAAGTTAAAGTAAGATGGTGCAACCCAGCCTAAGTAAACACAATACATACATGAAGGTATGAATGAAGACAGAATAGTATGACAACGGGAATAAGTAGACGAATATAATAGGAATGCGTCGATTCATCTGATTCAAAGACACGTAGACAGGTTAAACAATTCGTAAATCGTAATTCTTTAATAAGGTTCAAGTTCAGCAAACGACACTTTTGATTGATTTCGTCTCTAAATCTCATCGTCCACGTGTGATTTTAGTGATCTCTTGAATAATTCATGAGCGAATTGCTAATTTTCCGCCGGTATATGATAATTCATATTCCATCGGCGCCCGCGCATTCCTGGGCCGGCGCGTGACTCAATGTGTTGCAACTCCATTGTAGCGATTCAATGAATACGCAAAGCAAAATCCTGTAGCTATAGTGGGCGCGGGCGCAGCGACTGACAGCGAAATTAGGCTCGCCTACAAAACGAACGGTTCATTGATAAGTAAATGTTGGTTTTCGTAGGGCTTACAAGCGAAAGATTACTTAAAAAATCTAACAAATCCAACTAATGTATAGTACGAAAGTAACTATGTACGTACTTACTCGTATGTACCTTCCACACTTTAACTATGTACCTATGTGTGCGACGTGAGTTCCTTTAAAGAGATAGTCTAAGACCTAGACCTAGGAAAACACATAGGATAGTTTTATCCGAGTTTTTTTAAAAGGGGCACGCGGACGTGGCTGTAGGGAAAACTGAATAAGGTAGAGATTCGGTTTCTAAATTCTGGGACTATTTCTCTCTACTTTTCACCGTTGAGGCTACCTATTTTCAACTCATTGTGTTTTTGTGTAGTGAACAAATCATAAGAAACATTCGTTCGTTCTAGTCAAATGAGGTCCGCTGCTGGGCCAAAATTTGGATTAAGTGCAGGTGTCATAAAGTCTGACAAATTGACTTCATTCAATGTATGTACTCAATTCCTACGGCTGAAATCACTTTGCTTATTTAAATAAAAGATTGTCGTCACATAACTAATTATATCGTCTCAGCCATCTGCAAACTGTTAAAGCCACACCGTCAGAATACTAATAAGAAATAAATATGTACATGAATATGTATTTATTCAATCATCAATTGCGCAGTTGTTACATACGACACAAAAAATCTTTGTGATCTAGAACAATATTTATTTTACAATAATAGCCAACAGGCGTCATAAGCTTCTTTCAACAATAATAAAAAGAAAGACGAAAATAATTATTATAATTCTAGCTTCAGACTTAATATACAATTAAACTCAATCGTTTATTGCTTTACACATTAGGTCTTACAATAATTCAGGTCCAAGTTATATGGACCTAGTTAGGCTACATTTATAAAAAAACATCATTTTTTTATGCATAACAAGGCAGGCATTTGACCACAATCGCACCTGATGTTAAGTGGATCATCCAATCTAGGATGGTACATATCTACCCTGTAAGTCCCTATTCACTCTCGCCTTGAAAAGGCCCGGGTTATAGTCTTCGGGAAAGACAGCAGCAGGCAACGAATTATGTTCCTAATTTAATCTAATTTAGTAACGTCTTCTAGTACATTTTAATCAAGATTTCGGCAACAATATTTTCCTTTCACAAAACATAGCGTGTTGCAAAGAAAATTGCATGTCCGGACTTCTTCACTTTTGCAACAAAAACGCTGCGCTTGCGTCGATCGTCGGATGCGTTACGTCAACTGCAATCCGTGAGAGTTTTTAGCCATCACGCGATTTGTCCGTGGCCTTAGATCACTTTAATTAATTTTAAATTAAATAATATTGCTAGCAGCAAATTATTTTGGCGAGTCATGCAGAGATCATTGGTTCTGGAGATATCTCTTTAAATAGGTACCTATCTATATTTGTCGAAATAAGGGGCTAGCCTTTCAACTCAAAAATTAACGTGAGACCAAGCTGTTGTAGGTACATACAGGTGTATAACTGCACAGAAAATTAGGAAAAAGAGATTCATAAGAAAAGTAAAGGACATGGACCAAAAATATGACAAATTAATTTGTATATTTTTTGGACATTGTTGTAACAGCTGTAATCAAAGTTAAGTAATTGATGAATTTAAAACCTAATTGACAAATCATATCTAGTTTGTTAGGTCGATTTCACTTAGATTTTTGGATGCATCTTAACTAACTAGCACTACTGGCGCTAGATGCAGGCCGCTACCAACCGGGTAACATGGAAAGCATTAGGGGAGGCCTATGTTCAGCAGTGAACGTCCTATGACTGGTTGAGATGATGATGATCTTGACTAAATCGCATCGGCAGCACTGTGTAGTTACAGCTCATCAGAATACTGTTCACAATAATTATCGAGGCATACTGAGATCTGCCAGTGGGTGTGCAAGAACAATAGGAGTGCGGCGCCAATGACTGGCAGATGCAGCCCTCACATTGAGGATGCATTCCGTGAGAGCAATTCGTCACTTGTTTCGAACGTGATTTTCATTGAAGGATAAAACGGTCTGTCTGTCTCACTCACGTCCAGAGAAAAGGATAGAGACGAATATATCGACATTGGGGCAAAGTTAACCATTACAGTTAAGTAGCGTACGTACCTTGACATCAATCCTCGTTGTTTTGAACTTTTTGGTGATTTATCGCAACGTAATTATGTATGTATTGCGAAATGTTCCATTCAGTTTGCTTGTGGTATTTTGTTGAGTGTAGTTTTAAAACAAACTTAAAATAGTGTGGCATACTTAGTGCCATTTTTCTTTTAAAAGACTGGAAGAGTTCATAATAAGCATCAGATTCAATTTCGTGTTCACGTAAAAAAAGTCTGTGCACTGTCGAAAGTTTTTGGACCTCTAAACATTGTAAAAATATTTGATTTTGTCACGAATGTTACTTTTTCTAGGGGAAAACCACATGTGACGTCTTTGAATCGATTTTGATGACAATTTTTGATTACAGACCTTCATATACCACAAAGACAATTATTGTAGTTCGTAATAGCAGAATAGAAACCATTTCAGCTGGTTTTCCCCGGACCTAATCCAAAATAACTTGACCAAATATGGCTGCCGCGGCCCAGTGAGCCCGCTAGAGTGCCGCTGACAGCGACACAGCTTCATAACGGACCGTTGCTGTTTAGAAAATACGAGCTTAAATCGTTTTATGCTGTGCTATTCCATTATTCTTCGTCTATTTTGTCGGTAGTAACATTTAGGTCAAACTGTCACCGCCCTAGTGTCAGACTTCATGATATGTAACAGAGTCATAGGACCAAGGGCTTAACTATTGGGCCCTACGAGGCATGGAGAAAAATCAAACATTCATAAAACATAAGTAAACATTTTCATAGTAAAGTCAAGATAGTAAAAGGTAACTCAAAGTACAATACGATCATTAGTTTAGTCACATCTTGACCGTCAGCTGTTTGGCACTCCTAGACCAGGCTAGACTTTTTCATAAAAAAGTTGGGATGAGCAGTTGCTTCAGTAGGTTTCAGTATTATAAAAAGTTTAAATTAAATATCTGAACGGTTATCGATTTACGAAAAAATACTTTAAGAGTAGGCGCACACCGTTGATTTTTTGTTGGCCGATAGTTGTGCCCGATTTTAAATTGTATGAAGAATCGGCCAAATCGAATCGGCGTAGTGTGCGGCACTCCCATACATGCCCATACTGATCAACTGCCCGACTAAACAATCGGCCGACAAAAAATCAGCGATGTGCGCCTACTCTTAACTATTAATACGTAGAATGTTGATTAGTTATTTTTATCGTGTTTGCAAATTGTAGTAGGTATTACATAAACAGGTCGACCGGCTCAGTTTATCCTTTGACTTGTCCCGATCCGCACTCGGTCGATCCCTAATGCTTTTGATGCGATCCCC